TATTAATAATAAATAGTCGAAAGTGTGCATCACGGGTGTTTCCCATTAATATTCAGTATTGTTCTCATCGATATAAGTGCTTTTTACGTGCTGATTAATGTTCAAACTTTCCAAGATGATTTCAATAGATTAAATTCATACTGTCATAAAAATAAATTGTTCTTAAACTACGAAAAATCTTCGTTTATTATTTGTTCCCAAACTCAACAATATAATATTTTATTAATGGGAACCTAAAACGTGTCAACAGCGTCAGAGACTTGAATATAACCTTATATGTTAAGTTGCATTTGAAGCACATATTGAAAACATTGTTCTAAGCGCCAATAAAATGCTAGGATAATTATTAAGAATTAAATAAGGCCATAAATGCTATAAATACCATATCTCTATGTTTTAAACACTTTAGAATTTTCTTCATAATGAATCAAGTAGAAACAAGATTTGTGAATGCTTTAAATTACAGATATAATAGGTACGTCCATTTTCTTACTTAAAAATCTAGGTTATGAACAAGATTTGTAAAAATCGATTCTCTATGATAGTTTCCACAAAATGCTGAGTCAAGTCATCAGTCAAGGATTTCTACTAATTACTTTTCTAATTCTCCATTTCCAAGATTTATGAACACCTATCACTGCTTGCAAAATGTTGACAATGAAGTGTCACTAGACCCTTTTATCAAATCGTCAAATGCCAATGTTTTGATTAAAATATGTTTCTTTCTTATTTTAATTGCCTTTTGAACTCATTATCTCCAAAACTATTAGAGCTATCGAAAAAATTAAGGAACATTTTCCACTTGGATTAACCCGTGATATACAAAAATGGAAAACCTACAGGGTGTTTCATTTAAAATAGGCAATTCGCTAAAACGGGAATTAATATTCAATTGTTTTGTATGTCAGACTGGAGCCATACTTTATTTATATTTTTTTGATTTGGGTAGTAATTTGTTGGTAATCGTAAAACGAACCAATAAAATATATCCTACATCTATGGTCCGAGGAACGAATGTAGACTAGGGTCTAGTTAAGAAGAAGGTTATGTCAGAATAAGAGACGCGTGGTTACTTTTTGTACTTTTGGATTCATCTTTTTTCAGTTGAATGGAGAAAATTGGACACTTTGGAAATTTCAAACATTGGTGTGTTTAAAATCCAAGGGACTGTTTGAAGTTATTAACAAGGCTGCTGTAAACGGATAAGAAAGTTACAGAATGGATTATGAAAGATGCAAAGGCTCAATAAGTAATTGTGTGTAGACTGGAAGAAAAGCCCCTTACCCATGTATTGCCATGTACCACAGCAGCGGAAATGTGGCAAAAATTAGTGACAATCTATGAAAATAGATCTCAGATAAGTGTACATTTATTGCAGCAGAAGTTTTTTGGCTTGGAGTATGGCGAAGGTGGCATATCTGGGTTGATATCAAAAATTGAAGAAATTCAAGGAAATCTGAAACTACAAGGAGAAGAAATAAGCGATAAAATGGCAATCACAAAAAAACTTATGTCTCTACCCGAAAGTTTAAAGTACTTTGTTTCAGCGTGGGAATCCATGCCAGAAGACAAACAAACTTTGTCAGAACTGATGTCAAGATTGTTAGTAGAAGAAGAAAGAAACAAACCTAGTAGTTCAGGGACAGCTTTAGTCACAAAAACATTTAGGTCAAACAAGTTTCAACAACAACGGAAAGATATAGTATGTTTTCAGTGCAATAAAAGGAGTCATATAAAGAAGAATTGTCCAGAAAAGACCAAGAAAATATGTCACTGCTGCAGAAAAGAGGGACACTTAATTAAAGACTGTTGGTTTAACAAAAATAAGAAGAAAAAGGAAGAAGGTGGTAATGCAGAAAGCGATGAAAAAAATGCAAAAGTAAATGTTACACAAGCGTTAGTAGGAGTATCTTGTTTATCAGCTTTGATTGGGGAATCAAATGGTGGATGTGACTGGTGGCTAGATAGCGGAGCCACAGAACATATGTTGCTCTAGATAAAGGTCTAATGATGCAGTCTAATAAACAAGAGAGCGAGTTCCGAGATAAAAACGGATACGTGAGGGCAGTTGCTCAGAGAAAAGAACGACTATATAAAATGAAGTTGAAACCTCCAGAGAGTATGTCACTATGCAGTATAACAGAAAGTCTGACAAACTGGCATCGTAAAGTAGCCCATGTCAATTTTGATCAAGTAAAGAAGGTATTGAGAAGGAATGAAATAAAATACAAGGATGTTGCCAACCCATTTTGTCAAGATTGTTTGGCAGGAAAGCAGCACAGGCTGTCATTCTCACATAGTGAGTCACGAGCTAAAAAAATAGGAAAGCTTATACATGCTGATTTGGAAGGGCCTATTGAAGTACCATCACTGGGAGAGGCAAGATATTTTTTTGATGCTGAAGGATGATTTTTCCAATTATAGATATGTATATTTCGTAAAGAATAAGTCAGAAGCAGCAGAGAACATCAAGAATTATTTGAATATGGTAGAAACACAAACAGAGAACAAAGTTAAGAAGTTACGAACAGATAACGGTTTGGAATTCATGAATTTAGAAGTGAAAAAATTGTTAAACAATAAAGGAATGCTTCATGAAAGGTCGTGTGAATATACTCCACAGCAAAACGGCCGAGCAGAGAGAGAAATGCGAACCCTTGTAGAAGCCGCTAGAACGTTATTGCATAGCAAACGTTTGGACAAAAATCTGTGGGCAGAAGCTATTAACACTTCAGTTTTTGTGTTAAATAGAATTGGATGTAGTTCCATTCCAAACAAAACACCTTATGAACTTTGGTTTGACAAAAAATGCGAGATGAATATGTTTCATGAATTTGGTTCCAAAGTAGCGGTGCACATAATTAAAAACAAGAGAAAGAAATTGGATTCAAAGAGCAAACTTGGAATTTTGGTAGGATATGGATAGGCAACTAAAGAGAAGAAAAATGAAGTTAATGTAGTTTTGTTAGATTTGGACACAGACATAAACAGTGAAGATAAACCAATACAAGAATCAGAATTTGAATTAGACAAAGAGAATGCAGAAGAAGGAAAAGAGAATGAACAGTTGGAAAAGAGAAAAGTTAGAAGGCCAGATTGGATGAGAGACTATGATGTGACCTTCTACACCGAAACACAAGAACCTATGACCTTCGAAGAATCCATAACCAGTACAGATAGTGAAAAATGGAAGAATGCGATGGAAAAAGAATTGGCAGTGCTTCGTGAAAACAATACGTGGACTGAAGTGCCTTGGCCCGTGAATGAAAACCTCATAGATAGTAAGTGGGTGTTTAAAAAAAAAGGTGACCGAGAATATAAAGCAAGACTTGTTGCGCGCGGTTTTCAACAAAGAAGTGGTCCTGAGTTGTATGACGTATATGCTCCTGAAGCAAAGTTAACAACTTTCCGCATTTTACTGGTAGTGAGCAGCAAGATGGGTAGACCAATACACCAAATGGATGTGAGAAGTGCCTTTTTGTATGGAGATATAGAAGAACAGGTATTCATGGTGTTACCAGGTAAAAATAAAAGTAATAGTAATACAGTAAGTAGGCTAAATAAGTCACTGTATGGTCTAAAAAAATCTCCAAAATGTTGGAACAAAAAATTTGACTCTTTCATGCGAAATCAAGGTTTTGACCGATCACAGAATGATTATTGTTTATACTTTAAATCGAATAAAAACAACAAATCATTTGTATTGTTATATGTTGATGATCTTTCAATATTATGTACGGATGACAGATAATTAGATAGGTTAAAGCTAGTTTTAAATGAAAATTTTCATTTGAAAGATTTAGGAGTTATTTCAAATTACTTAGGTATAGAAGTTAAACAGAGACTAAATGAGGGACTTACTGAATTAGGACAAAAAGAATATCTAAAAAATGTGTTAACTCGTTTTGGTATGCAGGATTGTAAATCCATAAACATTCCTTTAGACAGTAATATAGATTTGAAAATCTTTAAATGAGAAAAAGTTGACCTGGCATTGCAAAAATTATGCAGACGTATTGTGGGAAGTTTAATGTACGCCGCAATGGGGTCTAGACCTGATTTATTTGAGAGCATTAATTTGTTAAGTGGATTTCAAGACAAAGCAAACGAAAACTTATACAAAGCTTTAAAAAGGGTTTTGCGTTATGTTCAGGGCACACTAGATTTAAAACTAATGTTTAAGCCAGATGAAAAATTTGTTAATAGGATATGTTGATTCCGATTGGGGTGGAGATACGATTGATCGCAAATCTACCACAGGTTTTATATTTAAGATGTTTAATTGTACTATCGCAGCAAACAGTAGCCATATCATCAACAGAGTCAGAATACTTAGCGTTGAGTCTAGCAGTAACTGAAGCATGTTGGCTGAGAAAAATAATGTATGATTTTGGTTTTCATGTTGATAGCCCAACAACAATATATGAAGACAATCGATCAGCAATTTGTATAGCACAAATTCCTGAAAACAAACGAGTAAAGCATATTGATGTTAAGTTTTACTTTATCAAAGAAAAGATCGATGAAGGTATTGTAACTGTAACATATGTTAAGAGTGAAAATCAACTAGCAGATTTATTTACAAAACCATTAACATACGTAAAATTTAAAACGTTACGTTTGGGTTTAGGTTTAGAATAGAAATGCTAAAATAAGTGTTATTTGTTATGGATCATAACCTTGTAAGGAATTATTTTATTGAGGAGGCGTGTTGGTAATCGTAAAACGAACCAATAAAATATATTCTACATCTATGGTCTGAGGAACGCATGTAGACTAGGGTCTAGTTAAGAAGAAGGTTATGTCAGAATAAGAGACGCGTGGTTACTTTTTGTACTTTTGGATTTATCTTTTTTCATGTTGCGTTTTGTAGTGTCAATATATTGTTGAGTTTCGGACTTGTTTGAATATCCCGAATTGACCATTTCCTACAACATAATTTCATTGACACCCGGTTTCTTATAAAATAGTGAAGTAACACAATTAAACAATATTCGCTCTTAAAAGTGTTTATTTTGATAACAATAGTTTTATATACGCAAGAAAATCCATTAGTAAAGTTTTTTGTTACTTATCTGATTTCACAAAGCTTCCACTTGATCTTGGCTTACTTACTTGTGACCGTAACAATTTGATAAGTAAATATTTGACCTAAATAAATCACAAGTTTTTGACGCTACATTGGAAAAATACCAAGGACAAGTTTCCACTTGCATTTTAAGAGTAATTTTTTATATGGGCGTTTTGACTTTTTTTTATATTATTATTTCCCAATTGGTCTTTTTAGGTGCCATTTACCCGTTAAAGCGCCTTTCACAAGCTATAAATATCCGCTCAACGCTGGTCGCGAATGTTTCGGGTCGTGAGCCTTTGTCCACCAATCAAAACACTTAAGTCGAATATATCACACACGAGTATAAAATGTCCGCGTCCTATTCAAAATTGACCAATTTCGTAACGGCCATTCCGGGCTTGCCGATGATCTCTTTCCAGAACGGATTGTTTTTGTCGATCTCTATCCTACCGAGCAAGGTTTTCTTTCCTAAGATATTTTTCGCCAACAGTCTGATCACGATTTTCACGTGACTTAACATAAAACTGTTAACTCTAGCGCGCAGCGTTGCCGTGTTGGCTTCCAGCTTCAGACTTATCGTTGGATCGAACATGTCGCTCTTCTTCTTCTGGACGACGTCTTCGCTTTCGAAAGCCGTTATTTTGATATAGAGCTGACCTGCAAATTAGAGCGTGTTTAATCAATTCTAGACAGTCTAATTTCTAAGCTAACGCATCGTTGGTCCTTTAATGGCAATATGATTGGAAATCATAACCAATGAAACCAAGTACATTTGCTCAGTCGTGCACTCATGTCGAGATGGTAGGTGTGACGGTGCGGTAGTGTACATTTATAAAAAATACTATTAACTTTAGTGAAATATTTGTCAAATGTTTAAATTGAGTATGGGCGGCCGTCTTTTCAGGGTCAGTAATTTTTTAAAGAATTGGACATAATAATTTTTATTGCTAAATGGTTGATTTGGTAAAAAACGTAACTAACATAACATGGCAAACTAAGCAGATATTAATTTATGTTGAGCATAGGAAATTGGTATTGAGTGTAAAAGAAAATGTTGGGCGGTTTAAACCCAAAACGTACAGTGTATTATAGGCTAGTATGGTGTTTCATATTTCTAATACTGTCACTGTCAAATAAAATTGTCAGCGTGGTCACAAATACGTTAAAAAATAAAAGGAAGCCTAAAATGGCTCCACATAGGAGTAGAGAGTTAAAAGCAAGAATTGTGAAGTTAAAAGATGGTTGGCCAGAACAACAGTTTTTTCCATTAATGAAAGGTAGAAACAAGAAGAAACATTTTAAAGGAAAAAGGGATCCAGCAGGCAGTTAGTTCAGTTCAAAAATATTAGACGTTCCTTCAGATAGTCGACGATGACCCTTTCGAAAGAACGTAATTTCTGAGCAGTAAAACCACAGTGTGTTGAATAATTAAAGCATCGCACCTTAAGTACCGGACTAATGCAAATAAGACCGCATTCGCTCCCCAACAGAAGCAAGCACGGCTTATTTTCGCTCTTAATCCAGGGATAGAGTCATTTTTCGCAGATCTTTCAGTATTTCAAAAAGTGTAGAATCAAAGTATACAGGCCAAACAACCAGCGCTTCAACCCTCGATTTGTCGACAGGTGCAGAGCTGCAGGCCATTTAAGTGTAAATGCATGAGGATGGATTTTATAGAGAGGAATGGCTGGCGGATTGAGGAAAGATTTGTTGGTCAAACTTATACCGAAATATTTCAGAACGTCATGGTGTCCAGTGTGGAACACCTTTATCTGAAAAATAATTATATTTACCAACAAGACAACTGTCGTATTCACACTGCAAACATCGTTAAACAATGGCTCTAATTTTGGACTCCAGTCATGACCAAGTAACAGTCCTGACATCAACCCAATCGAAATATGGTGCCCTCAAAACAGCGAGAAGCTATGGCAAGGTATTCAGGAAGTATGAGAAGCATTGTCACACTTGAAGAAAACTTTATAACTATTTCATGGCCATGAGCCGGAGACTCCAAGCTGTGACCGTACAAAATATTAAATTCCTTACAAGTGTTTCTTCTTATCCTGTTTATGTTAAAATATTGGGCTCTTGCTGATAATAGCGTGCACGTATTTAAGCCAATTCTTGAGAATTGTGTGGTGGTTAATGGAGTGCCTTCGGCAGAGTGAGTCGTAGATCATAGACCCAAGGGTCGATCCTAGGACCGCTTGTATTTTTTATACACATAAATTTCATGAAATGATGCCTCAATACTTAGCATTCGAGGTGAACGATTGTAGTTCAGAGTTGAAGTCTGGTTCAATGGCAACAGTATATTATTTAACAAGAATAAGACTCGAAAGTTTTGTTTTCTGTTTGAGAAATGTCGGTTCCATTTATGTGATACGTCTACAGTTAATCGCACCTCTAGAAAACACGAATATCATACCTTTCATATCGAACTACACCAAGAACTTCTAGACCGTGATTTTGAACAAAAGATAAACTTTCGCACCAATATACATGAATCAATACAGACCGATCCAATTTTTTTCTCTAAATTAATGTGTTCCAATGAAGCTTGTTTTCGCAATAATCTAAATCAGCCTAGTGAATCTTCATAACATGCATTACTGTGCAACAGTTAATCCAATCTGGGCAGGAAAAGTGCAAAACCAAACCAAATTAATTATTAGGACCAATTTTTTTTCGCAAACCACTCAATCTTTTGCAGAATGATTTACCTCAACTTCTTTAAGAAGTTGAGAAGAAGAAGATAACATTGAGATCCAATTAATGTAGTTTCAGCAAGAAGGAGGTGGAGAAATGGATCTATGCGATTTAACAACACTGAATTTCTTTTTGTGAGGACATGTTAAAGATGGGGTTTATGCTACAATGCCAGAAGATATGCTAAGAAACCTCCAAGAAAATATACGAAAAAGACTAGTGTTCAAGTAGAAGCGCATATTTTTGAACATTTAATAAGAGGTATTTAATATTTACTTTTTCTGTTGATTAAAAATTTTCCCGTTATTTTCACCAAAACATATATACAGAGATTGTAGGTTTGTGTAAGAGCTTTCGGAAAAATAATAATATATTTGGCGTGCCATTTAAGAAAATCGAAATTTTTTAATTTAAAATGATCCAAAATGAATAAATGGATATAATTTTTTTTAAACATCCTTTAACATTGCATTGCATATACCTTTTACTTTCTACTTTAAGAAATAGTGACACTATCATTATTTCTCAGAAGTGTGAAAACCAGTATTTTTTTAGAAAAATTAAAATATTGGAAAAATTATAAGATTTAGGTGATAAAAACGTTGAAGAATTTTAAAATATTTAAAACAAAATTTTAAAATAGGATGTTCCATTTATGTTTTCTGCATTACGCCATTTTGAGTCACATTATATACTTCAAAATAATTTAAAATGGTGCATCTTAACAATCTATATAATTTTTATAGTTTTGGTTAGTTTTCTTCTGACTCTTGAAACCAATGAGATAATGAACTTTACTCTATCATTGACTCACCCTGTACAGGTACCCATGTCACATTACGTATGATGTACGTGTTGTGCCAATTTTATGTACGATGTGTACGGAACGAAATAATCTCACCTCCAATTTTTTCGTGGTCCTGCATTGTCTGCAGACTGCACCGGAATTTAGTAACTGTAATTTCGATGACGTCATTAGCACCATCTTCGCTGACGGCGTATTGCAACGTCAGTTCGACGCAACCCTTTCTGCCTTCTCTCTGAAATTGAAAGTGCTACTTAACTCCACATCTGAGGGCCTTATCAATGATTCAAATATCCTGCTACCAGCATCAAAAGTAGAGAAAAATAGGTAATATTTTTATATAGCAGGCGGAGATACAAAACACACCTAGTGCGAGGTTAGCTCTTCGTGACGTCAGTGCTCGTATTAATTGTAACGGGTGATTCGATAAGAGTTTCGACATTACAATCTGAAATATTTTTGAAACGCCACTGTATTTGTTTTTTTATCATATGAGATTTCTAACCTCAAAACACAAACAAAATTAGTCATGGAGCAATATACGACTGAACAACGTGTAAAAATTGTGCAAGCCTATTATGAAAATGGTCGATCAAGAAAAAATGCATTTCGAGCTCTACGTGAATTATTCGGCGCGCAAAATGTGGTTCAAAAATTTGAGCAAACTGGATCTGTAAATAACCTCAAAGTCCCTCAACGTGCTCGTGCAGGTCGGTCAGATCAAAATATTGCCATTGTTCGCGAAAGTGTAGCCGAAGATCCAAACACATCGATTCGTCATCGATCGCAGTAAGTGGGCCTTACGTATTCAACCACACAGCGAATTTTAACAAAAGACTTGCATCTACACTCATATAAAGTCCAAATAACTCAGGAGTTGAAACCTCCAGATCATCAACAGAACGTGTTTGCAGAATGGATACGAGAACAACGAAAATCATCTTTAGCGATGAGGCACATTTTCACATTGGTAGCTTTGTAAACAAACACAATGCTCGTATTTGGGGATTAGAAAATCCAAGAGAGATTGTTCAAAAAGCAATGCATCCTCGAAAAGTGACTGTTTGCTGCGCATTTTGGTGCGGAGGAATAATTGGCCCTTTTTTTTCGGAGAACGCTGTTACGGTTAATGGTGTTCGCTATCGAAACATGATATCTGATTTTTTTCTGGGAGCTGTTGGAAGGTATGGATATTGAAGATTTGTGGTTCCAACAGGATGGAGCCACTTGTCACACATCCAGTGAAACGATGCAATTGCCGCGGGGCAAGTTTCCTGGTCGGATTATCTCACGTAACGGCGATATCAATTGGTCGCCGCGATCATGTGATCCTATTCCCCTAGTTTTTTTTAAGGTATCTAAAAAGCTGAGTGTATAGAAATAAACCAAACACATATTCCAGAGCTGAAACAGGAGATTAGACGCGGAATAGCCTGCATAGAATTGTGTCAAAAAGTGATAGGAAATTTCAATAAACGAATTACGTCATGTCACATGAGTCGGGTCATTTGAATGACATCATCTTTCATAACTAATTGTAATACACTAATCTAAAATGGCAAATAAAAATGTTTGTATATTTTTATATTCTTCCGAGTTTTTTTTATTACTTTACAGTTTAAACCCTTATTGAATCACCCTTTATTATGGTCCGCGGCTGTTGTGCAAATATTTCGAAAAATAATCCAGGGCAGGTATTTGTTGATGTACAGCGAAATTTCGTGCCAAAAAAGGAATGAAACAGTTCAAATGAATCCCGATGTAGTTCCATATTATCACTTGTCATTTGTCACTTGTCATAAGATCATTCTCAAGCGTAATAATTCTAAACCTGCAGAAGCTTTACCGAACATAAAAACTTTATCAGAAATAGAGCAACAATTAGCGTTCGACTTGTCAGGCAAATCCAGTGCATTATCTTAGTGAAGCAGTTCAGACAGAACCAGAAAAAAGCATAGAAAATATATAAATATAAATATCAGAATCACAATGTAAAAGAGAGATAAGAAAAATATACAAATCAATTTAGGGACTATTTTTTGTAGACATATATTTATGAAAAATTCTTGCTTTTGTAAATTTTTAATGAAAAATGAAAATTAAAAAATATATTGAAATTTGATGAGAATTTAAATCTTCGACAAATAGCAGAGTGGCTTGGAATGTCTACAACTTGCAAACATGATGAATTTTTCAGAATTTCTCAAATAATTAGTGCTAAACTTGATTTATTGCTAGTTTACGACCCAAGTTATAAAAACAAAAGAAATTACAGTGCAATTACTAAATTTTATAGGATATAAAACTCAGTAAGGATTTACTTAGTCGATTATGATCTAATAAATGCCATCTCAATTAATATTTGTGGTTTTATAATTGTAACGGTTGTCTTTCGATTACCTATTTTTATAAAACTTGAGAAAACCCAATGAAACTTAAATGGAGAATGTTATAATGGTATAGGTGACCAACTTTTAATCCCTTATTTATTTTTTACGCTACATTTTATTATTTTCATTGTATTTTAGTTTTATACTAAAGCTAGAAGCTACTCTTTTCTCTACTCGCTTCTGGTTGTCGAACTTCTGTTGGACTTAAATAGACAGGGCTACTACACACTAACAGGCCTGTACTAACGATCTGTGCAAGCGCAAAGTGCAAATGCAAGTATCTGGAACATATGGCCCAGCAAGGGCAATGCAAGGGCAAGAGCAAGGGGCTCTCGATCGAACTACCGAGTACTGCGAACAGAAACGCTTGTTGATAAATGGAACTACTTTTTTCACTAACAATAGGAAGCAAAACGCCACTCATTAGCCTGTTGTGCAGGGACTGACATTCAAACCGGTTCGGACGGAAAGCTTCTAGAGGCACAAATCACGTTCTGGATGTACACGATAGTAGTAAGACAACTCGTTACCCACGTTGCCTACACCTAGGACTGGAGATCTTTAACTTTAGGGTAGGGCTTATAGCTCGAAGAGAGGTCCTTAATTTGCAGCCGGGAAAAGAAGGACACCGGCCACTGCAATCTGTGACAGACCGCAACTAAGATGCCCTCTCTGAATTGACGCTACATAAAGAACGAGGATAACTGGCCTGGGTAGGAGAAAATATTCTTGTGCCTTATGGGTCAGTATGGGGTACACTGGCGGGCCCAAATTAGACACTGCAGCAGGTAATTCTTCTATACCAGTATGTTTCAATCATAATCATAACCTCAGCAGAGGGTACTCAGAAGCACATTTATATTTGCACACAACTATGAAAGATGTACTGTACAATCTTGAGAGAATAGGGCTCTACTAAGGTATCGAATGTATCGAAAAGTCTGAAAACAGTGGCCTGTCAATAAAGGACAGGGTACACTGCAGATAGAATAGGAATAAGACGAGCTAATAGCAATGGATTTTTAATTTGACATTTTTATGAAAAATTTTATAAATACTACAACAACAAACTTTACTATCACAACTTCATTTTGGTTGATACAAAAAAAATTATGGACTAATTTTATATTTTACCCTTCCTACCCTCGTTTGAAATGTAATTTTTCAAAAACCTGAAATTTAAAATTATGTTTAGTGAAATTTCTGTTTGCACTAAAATTGCAGGTCATTTGATGGTATATATCAACATTCAAGTTTCAGGAATTCTGCTGAAAATGCAAAATTATTTTTTTCTTAAGCAGGTTTTTAAAGTAATTTTGGAATGCTTATACTTTTTTTTATTACTTTTTTAATAAAATATAATAAAACAATTATAATAAAATTAAATGTCAATTGTTACTGACAGAAGTGGGCTTAGCTTATCTGGATAAAGTTTTTGAAGAAGCAGTTGGCAAAATAGCATCATCTTTCAGGTTCGTTCCAGGTCTCATAGTAGCTGTAGATTTTACGGAGTAATTCTTAAGATTATATAAAACCTTAAGAGTAAAAATAAGGTTTTGAAGAAAAAATTTTTAGAAAAACTTAAGTAACAAACACCAAAGGTCTTGCAAAATTTAGGACACCGATGGTTTCCTTATTAAATTAACCAAAACTGTTTCAAAAGCAAAAGTTTCTTCTGAACCCTTTACAAATGTGCTGCTGTTAGCAGGCGCAATTTGTAAAGGACAAGCGAATCTGAACCCATATTCATTTTCTTAATTACAGTGGTCTTCTTACTAGGAATATATTATTAATACCACTTCGGAAACTCCACGTCAGATATGGCAAGAGACGTAATAAATTTGAATAGCTAATTGCGATGAACGCAAACTGTTTTGACCATGAAGTCGCAAAGCGCACCAAACAATTTAGTAAATTGGCATGCACTTGAATAATGTAATTATGCGTTAAGAATCGACCTGGAAAAACGAAAATATTCAAAACTCGACGTATTTACGAGTTGGTTCGAAATATTTGCACTTTAACATCTCAACCAATAACTTTCTTTTTCTTAAATATGTGTATCGTTTTGACTTTTGACGAACCCTCAAAAAGTAGTTACAACATTCATATCACAGTATATCACTAATTTATAACAAACAAAACAAATTTTAAAAAATGTATATTAATAGCAAATATGCTATGCTGTGATGATTAAGTAAGTCATAACGCTCAGGTCAGTTACTATGACTGTTATTAGTTAAAGACTAATTGATGCCACGTTCTCAGGAAATGAATGTACCACTGTTAGCCAGGGAGAGAAGATAGGAATTGCTGAAATAATAAACAAAAATAAGCCCGAAGTTCCACCAGGAACGACAAAACGTTGTTTTCGTTGCAAAAAAGATTCAAAAACAAAATGTTACTGTCAGAAATATCGTAAGTTTGTATGTCTAAGTCTTTTTGTTCCCTGTTATACCACACGTTCAAGTGTTGCCAAATGCCAATAAACAACAAAATTTTATGTTATTTTAACATGTTCAGATGGAAAAAAAATTGTTTTGAATTTTTTTTGCACTGTGCTTTGGAATAGTATAAATTAAAATTACGTTTTTTTTTATTGTCAAAAACATTATTAAAAGTTAGTTCTATTTCATACGTTTTTTTAGCAAAAAAGATGACGCCGGGTCTGTGAGACAGAACAGGCAGCGAAAGATAGAAAAAAAAGAACAGGAAGCCAGCAGATCATTACCCTCAACAGAAACTGAGCATTCAGGTTCTTTGGGAGACTTTAACCAAAGACTACTAACTAAGGGTTGCGATTTTTGGGAAATTGAAAAAGCAGTTTTAAATTCTGTTGGCGAAAATCCTGAACTTAGTACTAGAAAAATTGAAAAGAATGTAGGAGTCTCGCAACGATTTTCTATTGTACCCATATCATATACACCGAGTCCAAGTGTTACTTAGCAGAAATTTCCCCTTGCGTGTTAATTTTTGTAAATGGTTGTTCCTTGTTTGACCAAGAAGTACCATTTAAAGATGAAGCTAACTTTTCGAGAAATGCAATCAGAAATTTCCACGATAACCACTTTTGTGCCGATGAAAACCCCCATGCATTGTGGAATCCACACATCATGAACAGTTTTCGGTAAATTTTTGGGCTGGAATTGTTGGAAATTATTTAATTGGACCGTTTTTCCTGCCAGAAAGGCTAAATGGCCAGAACAGATCGTGGTTAATGATGTATGATGGCAGTAAGTGTATGTGTTGCAGTAAGGGAACATTTAAATCTTAGATTTAATAACCGATGGGTAGGTCGCGGCGGACCTCAACCATGGCCCCCTAAGTCCCCAGATTTAAATATTTTGGACTTTTTCTTATGAGGGTATCTTAAAAGTCTGGTTTATCGCATCCCAGTTAACACTGTTGAACAACTGAAGGATCGTATAAGAGCTTCCTGTGATTTAATAACAAACTCTGGAGGTATACCCCAAAGAGAGCGCAGCAATATGACGAAAAGAGTTGAAGAGGATACTTTCAACAACTTACCTAGTTTCTATGCCCTATTTTTTTTTGTTGTTGTTAGGGTGTTATCTTATTTCATTAAAACTGTGAAAGTAAAAAGAACAGTTCACTAATTTTTTTTTATGAATAACACTAGTTGGTAACCAAAAACTAGATATTTTGTTTTAGATAGATATTTCCTCTCCCCGTATAATCAGCGTTATTTATAGCTTTATTTATTAATAATAATACATACCCAAGCCTAATAGGAATGTTTTAATGTTTCTAAAACAATACCATAATAATGCCTCTTGATACGTGTGTGCCAAATTTCATTAAAATATCTAAAGTGGTATTACAAATATTAAAAAAATTGATTTTATTTTGAAAAATTTCCCAACTTGTATCTCAAAAGTTAATACATTTAGGGCATATATTCATAGGATGTTTTCTTTTTAAAATGAACCCAAAAATAGCCCCTTAATTATTAACATTCAATTAGAAAGCGGTATTCATATTTACGAAAATCCTTAAACCAATATTCAAAAGTTTTAGGTATGATTACAATTTTTTATTTTGATTATATCTTAATAATAGGAGAGGTTGAAGAATGTCAAAAAAACCTAAACTACATTAAAATCATTTCAGGAATTAGATTATTCATCATAAATTGGGACAAAAGTGTGTTAACACTCAAACAATTTATAAAATTTGTAGGCTTTAATTATGATACAATAAACATGCGTATCTCTTTTCCGAAAGCGAAAACTATAATGGTACAAAGACGGTTTAATTCATTAAGTTAAGGAGTTTGCCAGGTTAGTAGGCACATTTGTAACTTCTTGCCCGGCTACAGAATACGGTTTTACTCATTCAAAAGTTTTTTAAACTATAGAATACAACTCATTATAGGGCGAATTAATTACAGTAAAAAAAAGGTATTCCGAAATGGTTGTTGCCTGAATTAGAGATTGGTGGCAAAAGAATAATGTTGAAACGTGAAATGTGAAATATTTTCTGATGCCTCACAAACTGGGTGAGGCGCCTATTGCAAAAAATCTTGCGGTCACGTGTTATTGGATAGCCAGGAGAAAAAGCAGCATAGAAATAAAAGTCGCACATTACGCACTGAAATCCTTTGCCAATGAAAAAAAACTCATATTCGCCTCTTATTGAGAATAGATAATGAAACTGCCATTCTTGTATAAGTCGCAGAGGAAGTCATGTTTAAACAATATGGTAAAGGAGTTGGAGGTTATAGACAAATTTGGATACCCTGAGATAGAAATTTTTGAGAAAAGGTTAAATAAAAGGTGCTCAAAATTTATTTCCTGGTTTCCAGACCCACGGAGTCTACCGATGCTTTTACCGTGAGTTGATCGGAATATTATTTCTACGCTTTTTCTCCATCCTCTTTTATCACAAAACCGTTAGAGAAGATGAGGCATTTGGAGTTCTAGTATTTTATTGGCCACCTCAATTCTGGTTCCCACCATATCATAGATTATTATTTCTTCCTTTGATCTTTCGAGCAGGAAAGTGTTTGCTTAAATCTCCTTTAAGAGAAATTTTCTTGATGGTCCGGATGTTATGCAGAAGGCATTCTGAAGGCGCAGTAGAGGTGCTAATAGCATCCTCAATAGAGAGTACCCTAAAATAGTATTCCTCCTGTTTCAGAAAATAAATTAAAGATCAAGATCCACCAGTAAATAATTTACAAATGTATTTATAATTGTTTACATTGAATAATTTAATTTCCATTTCGGTAATTAATTCATACGTATTTGCGCAAAATTTTCTGTTTAGTCTTACAACAATGAAAATATTATAAATAGGTATGTAAAAGGGGTGTCCAATATTTTAAGTTGCTTCGGAACATTATACCCCTTACAAACCTTAAGTCTAGAGCAGTGAACGCATAAATTTGTCATTCTTATTTCTCTGATAGCAGCAAATAGAATTCAAACACTTAGGGAGCTATAAATCTTTATTACTATTCCCTTACTTTACAGAAAAACTGGAAGTATGTGTAGCGTCCGCTATCAACACCTATTTAAGAGCGAAAAAACCCATTCACACAGCATCGGCGCAAACAATAAGTCGCTGGACTACAAAGAGGTTGTATAGAACAGGAATAGATACTTCGATATACTTTGCGGCATCATAGCAGACGTGAGTGTAGAACAAATAAAGACTGCAGCAGGTGAACAGCCTCTGCAAACACATTTTTGACTCCTATAATAGACCTATAAGGGAATTCGATGACATCGCTGCTAAAGCCGAGATAGTAATTATTAATTACATCAAGGATAAGCCAAGGAATATTATAAAATTCATCGACTTACTTGTTCAAAGATTAATTATAAAATTCCGAGCTTGTCCATAGATGTATTCACTCTATATATGTATATCTAGCTCCCAGTTGTTTGGAGAATTTCTTATCAGGCACTTCAACGAAATGAGGTGTCATTTTCGTGAGACTGCCTATACATTCATTCTGACCAGCTGATTTCCAGGAAACTACAAGGATAGGCTCGGAAAATTATAATTAATCTTGATTCAGGTAAGACAATCAATTTCATAATTTAATGTAAGAAGGCAATCTTTCAAAGTCGAGAATTCATAAAAACATGTGGTGGTAAGTGTTAACGAAATTGTTACATCAAGTACATCAAGTAATAAAATAATCTTTGTAAATAAGTACAAATATTGTGTTAATAAGGACGTATTGTTTGTAATTGCGTCTTGATTCTTGAACAAAATAACATAGAACCCATTGTAATTAATCTTAATGGCAACTGTGAAAGTAGAACGGATAATTCGTATATTATTAGTATTAGTACTAATGGGATTTTGTTATATCCAAATAAAAGTGCGTCCCTGTCAACGACAGATTATTTGGACAATTGCCGTTAAGCGCCAGAACGATATACTTTGACACGAGGTGTACAAGTGCAACTAATTTCATATTCACTCGCGTTGGTTAAATTTCGTAAATACCCAATGAACGACATTCGCAAAAGGCGGATCGAATTAAAGCATTTACCGGTTGCGACGGGATCCCACTCGTTATCTCCTTGATACTCCTCCACACATCTGCGGTACTGATCAAATCCTGACGCAAGACCTGCGTGAAATTCTTCAACTCCAAATTGTACGTCACCGCGCCGATCGTCTTCCGATCCCTCATCAGGGAGTTCCTCAGGCTACGCCTGTGGAATCTGCCGCTTTTACGAATAAAGTCGCTTTCGTCGTTGAAGGAAAAGAACCTCTTCATCACGTTCCTCGGTTTAGCCTTCTCCGTAGGCGCGTCGTCATCGGCCGCATCTTCGAACACGGAGTATATCGTGAACGAAACGAACTTGCCTTTGAGAGGATCGCAGGCCCTTTTCTCGGGGATGTTGACGTCGAAGCTGAAATCTTCGTTTATCGACGGCCAAGAATCTTTGACCACTTTCGTCTCATATTTTTCCTTGTTAGGAAACACCGTCACCTGGAATACAATTACAAATAACATCATCAGTGCATGCAGTACAAAGTATAGTCCATCACAATGTTCATCTTGCTTACTTTTGACCGCAATTATGGCAGTTACCTTCCGACAGCAATGAAACTTGAGTCCGGTAAGTACTAAAGGACATTAGGGACCGACTCTCAAAGGTTTTAGTGATAATATAATTTTTTTGTTTAATTAGATGGGTATAATCTTATTAAATTACAAGAGAAAACAAGGACATAACTAAATTCAATAAATTCATGGCTAAGAATATTTATACATAATTACAGTTTTGTTCTTAATATCTAAATCTAATTCTGTTACACTATCAGAGTCGCCATTGAGATTACTTATGACAGGATTTATGTTATTTTGTATACAAATGTAAGAATCCTCAATTTTAATAATGTGCTGTACTGAATTTTTCAAGCTGTCAATTGGAATGTTACTAATTGCATTCTTTATCAAATTTATAACACTAGGACTTAAAGTAGGAGTAATATTTTCTGTTCTGACTTTTGATTTTACTTCGTCCCATAAATGCTCTATGGGTTAAACATGCAATGATATGGAAGAAGACGTAAAACAGTAGGTATTCCCAGATTGTTCAGCCAAATTATCGCATACATACTATTTTTTAGTTGCATGTGAATTTAGGACAAAAGTTGCGCTTTTTTATAATCGAATTCAAAATAAATATTTTCTAACAAATATTCCTGAGTATTAGTTTTTGAACTTGATGAGGCTGGTGGTTTGATTACCACACGGCTGTGGTAGCTTGGGTTTGTTAATTTTCATTTGATTGCTGATTAATTCAGAAAAAATAAAATAACATTTACACAACGCAACTAAGTTCAATTCATAATTCCGTATTGAATGGCTAATATTAAAAATAAACCAATTTACATTATTTTTTTCAAGTATTTTGATAAGCAAGAAAAATTTGGAAGCGATTGATCCTGATTTGAGTTCCAGCAATGTTAATTCGATTTGTTAACTCTTCTCAGCTATCTACTTCAGTGTCATAAGTAGAACTAAACGTATCTCTGAATAGTCCAATGTACTGGACCACCTCGACTTATTTACTGGAGAATTTTCATCTAACCAGTTTCTTACACCCGGTTCATCGTGTTGAAAAAATATCTGCTCTCGGATTATCATTATTCCCGAAATACGAGTGTAAGGGGAGTGGAGTGAGAATACCAGAACTGCACAGTGGACCAAAGGCTGTGTGACAGAAGTGCCGAAATGGATTAAATGTCACCACAGAACGACTTTGTTACCCAGATGCTCTCAGGTTAGGGTTGCTTCTGATCCTAAACAGAAAGGTTCAGTAACAGTTAGGGACGATACGGAGTATACACTCATCTAATGCAAAAGATGGAAGACATTTAGAGCTGCAGCGGAGAGACAGTTGGGGAACAAGATGTTGGTGGACAACCTCGGGAGCACCACGCTGGAAAGCAGCAGCGGAAGGCACGTCACATTTGAAATGATCATCAATATTATGAATCAAAAAGACATGGAGGACAGAGAAATTAGCAAGCAAAGACGTCTTGATTCGAAGACAAATTACCCACGAGGAATGCCGCAAGGTGATACCGGGGTGTCGGGTGGGGAAAAGGGTGTGTTTAGTAGGTACACCTACTACTTCCTACCACTACCCCGGAAGAAATGGTACCTGGTGCCTAGAAAAGATTCCCACCACTGCCCAAGGATGTAGTCTTTGCATTTGGGTGATTCTGCTTATAAATTCATTTAAATACGTCATAAAACGGCGAAACTTTTTGTTTTCAGTGCAAATTACCGTCGATGCGTACAGATTGAAACATCATATCAGTAAACTTATATTTCCTTTAGGGATATTGGTGATATGTGTCAGGGATCTTAATGCTATTTGAGGACTTTCTTTAATTCTCCCTCATAACCATGAGTTCTCATAGGCCTCTGAGAACAACTAAATGATCCACGTTCTGCAAAATGTCTATGTGTGTTAGAAAATATTCTCCGATGTGGTTATTGTCTTTTGTACTACCGTACAGCAGATCTAACCTCCATAAGAAACAAAATTAATGAAACATCAGAGACAAAAAAACACCATAAATGTCAAACTGGCAACAAAATAATAATCTTATTAATTTTGCTTCAAGCCCTACTTTTCAAATTTTGATGAAGAACTAAGATAGGCATACCAAACAGTTTATTTTTGAAAGCAGTTTCCTCGAAAACGGTTTATCCTAGTGATATCAATCAAGTATACCTTTTTTTCATAACATTATCCGATTTTACGTGAAAAAAAGTCTAAAAGACAATCTACGAAAAGGATATTCGATACCCATTAAAAGTTACATCCGTGACTGAAAATTGATATTTGCGATTTTAGAAACAGGTTCGGCATGTCAAAATGACTAATTCGCTAAAATTTCAAAACTTTCTCTCTATCTGTGTAGGAAATATTAATAAAAAGCCATGTCCAGGACCCTTTAGGGCCTGTGGCTGAGTTAGGGGGCGTTTCTTGACCTATGTTCGTATAGAAAACTAGGTTCTTAAATCTGCTGTTTTAGTTTGGCGCACTAATTTGGAGACACTCTTTATAAATAGTAGATGCAAATGATCAAATCGTAATTCTCGCCGGTTCCAAGATTTTTGACTAATGACTTCCACAGTGTTCCCGAAAGCATCCATAAAATTTGTTGCAAGTGTTGTTTAGATAATAAACGATTTCTATAAACAAGCTGGCACATGTTGGGTCGGGGAAATTAAACTATAACCCAATTTCGAACGTAAACAAATTTTCAATCGTCGGCAGCGGTAAGAGAAGAGGCGGTTTTGTTGGTTTTAATGTAAGGCAATTGCAATTTTTTTTTCAAAATCGATATTTTTATATTACAAATGAGAAGGTATAATAAGAATGTAAGGAATCGGCAAGGCAAATAATAATTATCCTATGAGTTAATACCGACTGACACAGAGTGATCCAAAAAAACCGGATAGTGGAATTTTTGACAAAACCAAAAACAGAAAGAAAAAATTACGATGAACTAAAATAAATCTTTAACACCTTCCTTAACTAGCCGATAGGGTTTTGGAACCTGATTTACGCGGAGCAAAACTAGAATCGCTAAAAAAATTAATTCACCTAGTGTGATTAAGCTGACATCGGCGTCACGATTAAATTTTGACGTGACAGAAAGTTCGCGTATTCGCGAGATATTTTCGATAAAAACTTTATAACACTCACTCGCGCGATTAAATTTATCTCTCTTTGCAAAGATTGTTGATTAATTTTACCTTGCAATAACACACTTCAAGTACCGCAAATCGTTACTCAACTGCAGTAGATAAATAGAGGAAAATCTTACATGTCGATTTCAATGAAAAAATTATTTAAAAATACAGTGTGCTCTAGTATAAAGAATTACAGAATATTCTGGATTGTGATGTTCGCTAAAGTATGTTAGTAAGTTAGATCTCCCGAAAGCCCACTAAAACCTTATGATAGGGGGGAGGAATTGAAAAATAAAGTGTCATCGAATTCTTATTCAGGTGCTATCTAAAACCTAACTATACTAATTTCCATGAAGCTTGAAGCTTTTTTTTAAATAGTATCGAATAAGGACCGTTTTTTGGAAATAAAAATAATATTAACATTTATAAATTGATTTAAGTGGAATACATGTTTTATTTCAGTATATTCACAATATTAAATCAAACCAATAATAATTAAAATAATAACAATGAGCCAAAGAATCTACTTGTTACATTTATAGTAATATAATATCTACTCATACATGTAAGTAAAAATAAAAATAAAAATAAACCGAGGATAAAAACATTAACTCATTAGGCATATGGATATACATAATTTAGGATTTAGGTAAAAAACTATGCTTGATTAAATATAATTCAAATCTTATTTACCTTTGATATTTTAAATTAATGAGGTCATCTGCCCACCTGAAACATCCGTATTTTGACATCTCTTTTAAATTTCGTAAAGATGGTTTGTTCTCTTATATATGCTGGTAGCATATTATATAACCTAGGAGAGAAATACGTACATGATCGTTGTCCGTGTGTTTTTGTTCTACTGTGGGATAGACGTCCTTGTTTTGTCTGTTCCGGGTATGATAAGTGTGATTAGCATTAAGAACAAGAATTTTTCCTTTTTGGATGTCAAAGCACTATAGCGGATTTTTTCAAATTGAAAATGACAACATATTCGTATTCATGGCTAGTTTTTATGCTTTAAAAAATATACATTTACTTTGTAAATAATGGTTATTTTGTGTGTGATCTTAAGATCTTATAAACAAATTTTAATTCTACAAAGTTTAAAATAATGATAAAAAAGGTTTAGATTATTTTTTAAGGGACACATATTTTTTAGCACCATTTTAAAACAACAGCATTAATGAACCTGTAGTAATCTAAATTTGTAATATATCTTTGTAGTTAGTTTTGGTTAGTTCTCTTAAAGGACTAGAGATTGATTGATGAAATTCGAAAAAGTGTCCGAGATATTTGAATAAACTCGATTTCATTTAAACCGATAAAACTCCGCCTGAATGACTGCTGTGTGAATTGAATTGAACTGAGTACCTTAGCGGTCATTTTGCCGGTCCCAAGCTCTGAAAAAGGAGGAGGGTTGGTGGAACGGGTTAGCAGTCTAGCCACCGGAAAACCGACTAAAGCTCATAGACCCACAGATTTGACTCGGAATAGGACTGGTTTTAAGAAGAGGACCCATGCGAAAAAAAGATTAACGAATGGGAGGAGGAGAGATCTTCTACCTGGAACATAACAATATTCAATAACAAAGAGCAAGTGGTTATGATAGAACTGAACTGAACATCGATATCTGCGCCCTTCAAGAAACAAAAATAAAAAGTATGCGACGATTACATAGTAATATATAGCGGAGTGAGTAAAGACGAACGAGCGAAAGCGGAAGTGACGTTGGCGATACACAAGAAATACAAAGACTATATAGAAGA